ACACAACTGTAATATCTTCTCCTTCATGCATTTTTACCTAAACTCCTACACTGCAGTTCTTCATACTTCTGCTGAAAGCTTATAACCAGCATTTGCTGAACGCAGTAACATTTACTATTCTATACAAAGGCACTTGGCTTTTGTGCAGTGCCTGCCACCTTGGCTACACCTGAGAGATACAACCAGGATGGGAAGGAGCATGGACTTTGAGATCATAGACATCTGGGTTAGAATCCTGAGTTCTGTCATTTATGAACACAGGGACCTTGGGTCAGTCAACCAGCCTCCTTGTGCCTCTCTGTCTTTGCTTATCAGATGAGACTGTGGGTAGCACCCATATCTTCAGGTTGCTCTGAGGATTAAATGAAGCAACACGTGGAAAGCATTCAGTGCACAGTTCCTGGCACAGAGTAAATACTCAGTAAATGACTGCTGTTATGTTTTTCATTAATATTAGGAGCACTTTTAGAATATTTTTTCTTGCTTTTGTTCAGGCATTGCCTGAAATTCGTCATTTAATCCCATTATTTTGAGGAAAAAGAAAATGTGAAGAAAGTACCTCAATTGCTTTGATAGACCCACATTTTGAAGGCACAGCTAGAATGGGTGGTGTGCAAAAGGGTGGAAAGTCATTGGATTTCTGTAGATTCCTAAGGGGCTCTGGAGAGCTAGTCAGTGCAGTGCAGGCATCCTTGTTTAGGCTCTGTAAACATAACTGAGTCACTCAGGAGATGTTTTCATGCAGGCAAAAGTAACACCACCAAAAGGAAAATGGAATTAAAAAAAGAAACTTTAGGAGAAGGCAGTATATCTAAAAATATTGCCACGACCAACCAAAAAAAAATTTGGCTGGAACACCTGGATTTTTCTGAGTATAATTTTAGTTAGGTAAACATTGAAAAGATATATTTTCCTAAAAGAGGACAGAGTAATTTTATGGAAAATGATGGTTGGCAGTAATCTTCTGATTCAGAAGTTCAATTTTGTAAAAGATTTTCCTTGTTTAAAGGGTGAGAGGTTGCGAATTTGAACAAGTTGCAGAGATGATGATCAATACTCATAGTCACTTACCTGATACAATTTACCCCCAGTGAGCCTTCTTTGTAGGATAATTATCTAAGGATGCAGACATGTTCATGTGAACTACAGTGCTTAATTATGCGATAGTTAAATGAAATGATTGTTTTAATGTGTGCACTAAAAAGTATATTAGCACCATATTATGGCTTCATAGCTATCTAGGATATGCTTTATCAGGCTTTAAATTTTTTTTTCAACGTTTATTTATTTTTGGGACAGAGAGAGACAGAGCATGAACGGGGGAGGACAGAGAGAGAGGGAGACACAGAATCAGAAACAGGCTCCAGGCTCTGAGCCATCAGCCCAGAGCCTGATGCGGGGCTCGAACTCACGGACCGCGAGATCGTGACCTGGCTGAAGTCGGACGCTTAACCGACTGCGCCACCCAGGCGCCCCTATCAGGCTTTAAAAATAGGTACACTCTCTTGGCAGTAAGCAGATATATATTCAATATATAACTAAATTAAATGCCAGGCACATGGCACTGAATTTAAGGGAGTGGATGACGGTTTTGTGGTCAAATTATTTTGGGTATATTGAATGTGAATTCAAAAGGAAGACTATAAACAAAATTCTGAGAAGAGCTAGGGAACAAGATTTAAGAGCTACGTAAGCCCTTGCTAGACAAGGGCAATAATACAAAGACATAATTTACTATAGTTAGAGGATAAGAAAGACAAAGTAAAACCCAGATTATTTAGGCCTTACAAACTGGTTCTGTATCTGTAGGTGTACACACAAACACATACACACATACACACACTCAACACGAGTTACTGTACCCACCGACTTCAAGTGTAAATCTGAATAAAAGGAGGGGTAAACATCTTATGGAAGAGGAGTTGAGTTGAACACACACACCCGTTTTTAATAATAAGGTCTGTTAGACTTGAATGGCACAACAGTCTGTCGGGGAAGCGGTGAAATCATCACAGACTGTTGAGTGATTCAAAATTAGATCAGATAAAGCACTTTAAAAATACACTGTAGGAAACAATCTCATGCTGGGAAGGCAATAAAAAAATGACCTAACTTGGTCTTTTCCACCTCTAACTTTTAATGCTTCCTTGTAGTTTAAAAATAGAAAAGTATAATATTTATAGAAGTACCGAAAGTTGGGGTCTAAACTCTAAAGTGCTTATCGTTTAACACTAATATATTTGATACTCATGGCTTTGTTGTAGAAATGACAGAAATGTAGCTATAGGTCTTAGTCCTTTCTTCACTGGTGTGAAATCAAAAATGAAGAGAGCTCAGGGTTCAGGACACCATTTGTGAAGAGTTTGATAGATTGGTCCTTATAACTTAAGTTCTAAACCATTTATCCAACATAACAGACCTTGATGTTGTAGTCAAAAGTAAATAGGATTTATTTTTTTCCCATGTATTATATTTTTCCCCGTGTATGCCATTATAATCGCATATAAACATATGATGATGAGGGGACAATGGTATAGAGAGTTTTGGAGAATTAATAGTTAATGTAGCAAAAAAAAAGGGAGATTGGATGAGAAGCAGCTTCTAGAAAGCCTATTTTTCATGTTCCCCCTGATTCCCTGATCTTAGCTTAAATAATTGCCAATCAGATACAATCTCTTTATGTCACTTGGTTTCTCTTATATTCAAAGCAGTCAAGTTACTACACAAACTTAATCAGACTGTGTGAAGAGAAAGGGCACAATATATTTTTCTAATAGTTTCTGATCTATGCTTTTTTCATCTAACCTATAGTGATTTGCTTGGGGCACTCTTGCTCACCTTTGGGGAACCCCTGTCCTCATGCCAGGCAAATACACTTTAACCAGAAGTGGGAACTTCCTGTTCTCTGGAGTCGGCCTCTGTGACCTTTTGGAGAAATCATTGCTGAGACTTATAGCTCCATGGATCAGCTGCCTGGAGCCAATCCTGACAGAGGCCTCCCTTTATCTGTAGGTTGCTTGTGGATCAGCAGTATACCCCCTGAGCTATCCACATGCCTCTTGGCTCACTGACCACCCCTGTCCCACGTGACTGGTTTTATGCAAATGTCATAGAAAATTGGCTTAGGCTGACCTCTTTTTTAATCCTTGTTTCTCAAAATATTGCTATTTGATACAAAGTCCACTTATGTGCGGAAAACAGAGGAAGGTCATTCGTCCAGTTCTTAAAGTTTGCTGTGGTAGTGAGACAAAATTAAATGACCACTTCATTTCCATCTGGGAGTAGTGGTGGTGGGGAGGTACTGACCATGGGCAACTCTTTTCCTTGGTGCCCAGCCCACTGATAGGTGGTAGAAGATGTTCAATAAACATTTGTTGGATGAATGAGTGAATGAGTGGGGACCATTTCAAAGTAGGCTAAATTTTGACACTACTCTCTCTGCATTCCTTCCTGAGCAATTGGCCTCCTCGAGGGGCTAGCCCCACAGGATCTGCAAAAACACAAGGGAAGAGAAAGGATGGGAATGACTGCCAAAGGAATAAAAGTGACAGCGTTCAGTCCAGCTGTTTTTTGAATCATGAGCATATGTACTTTCTTCGACTAGCCTTAAACTGTTCACCATGATGTGTTAGGGGGGAAATCATGGAATTTTGGAGACAAATATAGTTGTGTGTCAATCTTTGCTACTTACGTATATTCTACCAAGAGCAGATTATTTAACCTCTCTGAGGCTCAGTTTTTCTTCATTAGCGTGGAGAAATTGCCTTTTGTCTTCGAAGCTTGTTTTGAGGTAAATCACATCATATAGTGTGTGTGTGTGTGTGTGTGTGTGTGTGTGTGTGTGTGTGTGTGTCTGTCTGTCTCAACAATTATAACTGTTTTCAGGTTTTTTTTGAATATCTTCTGGGTGCCTGCGTCAGGGCTGGAGGGTGTATACATATTTTAATTAATCTTCTTACTGACTGTAAAAGGTATAGTACAATAGTATCATTCCCATTATACAGGTAATTAAGTTGAGAGTCAGTGACGTAAAGGAATCTACACAAGATTGCATAGCTAAGGGTGAGAACAGAGATTTGACTTGAAATTTATCTAATTCCTAAACTGAGGCTTTTTTTTTTTTTTTAAGTAGACTTCACTCCCAGTGCAGAGCCCAGTGTGGGGCTCAAACTCACAACCTGTGAGATCAAGACCTGAGCCAAGATCAAGAGTCAGACGCTTAACTGATTGAGCCACCCAGGGGCCCCTAAGCTGAGGCTTTAATTTACCCTGATTAATAAATATTATTTCTTTCCTGCCCCAAAGAAATGAAAATAACACAATTTTCCCTTTCTAATTAATCTATTTACCTCTTCTGTAGGGTAGAATCCCTATCCCTGTAATAAACCCCACTGGGCCCAATAGCTTTGTTCATTCTGCTCACTTATTTAGAATCTAACTGTGGGGTCCACGCAGGTAGTGTTTTTTTGTTATCATTATTGAATGTCACATCTTTTCCAAAGATTTGTTCTATGTTATTTCAGGTTAGATAGTGTAATACTAAAGTCCAGAGAAACTAGGGGATGCAGTAAACTTTTAGAGCCACTGAGATAACTCAGGTTTTCTATAACCCAACCCAAGGAAGAAAACAAGATACAGCCTTTAGCTATGTGAAAGTGCAGTGGTTTCCATCTTTTGTCATGAATACAGTCAGAGATTCTTCTGGCCATGTGTCTACATATGATGTCAGTGGGAATTCTTAATACTAAGGGTGGAGATGTCTAACTTGGATGATCTGACTTTGGAACTGTTAGAAGCTGGAAATGCTTTTAACCATGGCTGAGTCAGAAGGATATGAACCCTGGACTTATTCTGACAGTTGCCTTTAATTAAGTGAGCCTGACCTTATTAGATTCTGGCAAGGCAGCTATTTAGAAAACACTAATTCTTTGGAAATCTAGCTTTTCCAAGTTTTGTTTTTGCTCAGCATCTTGGATATTGTTTTCGTTTTCCATTTTCAGATTTATAATCGCTTAGATATAAATTGCTGTGGATTCAGACCTCGAAAGGAAGATGCCTGTGTACAGAATGGACTGAGGCCAAAGTGTGACAACCAAGATTCTGTGGCTCTAGCACACGTTATCCAGCGAAAGCATGACCCAAGGCATTTGGTCTTTATAGACAACAAGGGTTTCTTTGACAGAAGCGAAGATAACTTAAACTTCAAATTGTTAGAAGGCATCAAAGAGTAAGTTTTATGCTATAGTAACATCTGCAGGACATCACATTTCTGTTACATAAGTAGTACAGTTTTAAGAAAACTTAAATCCTATTTAACCTATTTAATCCTGATTTAACCCTTGAATGGCATTGTGGATCTGGAATCTGGGAATGGAGGTCCCGTAATGGGAAACAGACCTAAGCCAAAACAAACAAGATCACAGTCATGGCGTCACTATCACCAGCCCATGCAACCTAGAAAACTCTTGCTATATTTCACATCTATCGTGTTGCTTGTCTCTCAGTGGAAATCCATGTGGGTAAGGGTGGAAGCATGCAGGGACCTCTGTAATAGGAATTGACAGAGCATGGATGAGCATGTGGCAGAAGCTCCATTATCAGGCCATGGGGCAGGGAAACTAACAGGCATGCAGATATTGACACGGCGGGATGTCCAAAGGCACAATAAACTCAAGAGACTTCTGGATGCAGTAGGAAATTAGAGCTAATCTGCTGACTAGGACACAGTATTAAAGGACAGCGGCCATTTAATTCAGGTAGAAAGGTTTTGGAACATTTAGAAATCTTTCCAGTAGGCATAGATATGGGGAAAAGTATCTTAAGCTTATCTATTTGGAAATAAAGGAAACTAACGGGAACCCTCCTATAGAGTCTGGGCTATTCAACCTTGGCTGCAGCCACTGAGGTTGAATTTCAGGCCCCAGCTTGTAGCCACTCTTCTTGGTCTTCCTACCTTAGTCAGAAATCAGAGTGTCCAGGACACTGGGGTATGTTTGAGACTTGAAAATAAGGGGGTGCATTGGTGAAAGACTGAGCCAGCTATGTGAAGCTAAGTGACTTCTAGAGAGCACATGGATGAGTCTAAAACTGAGGGTAGAACTCCAGTTTTCCAAATCCAAGTCCAATAATTTTCATGCAGTAACTTGTGTGGTTCATGCTGTTATTTTTATTCTTGTTAATAACACTGAGGCCTATTTCTTTAGTTCTTCCTAGCACTCCGAATCAGCTAATGTGCATTTTATGTACTTTCAAGACTAAAGGTAATACTGTTCCTATGAGAGTTTCATGAGCCCCAATTTCATGAGTTTTTGCCATGTCTTGCCCTGTTAATACTCGTTTTCACATCTCTTTGTGGATTTTAGGTGAATATATAGCACATTCTTTCTTTAAAGTGTTAAACTAAGGAAATTTTATATGTAGAAAAATTTACAAAATGCATCACTTACTGAGTTGATGTCATGGAGTCTTCTTAAATCTCTAAATTTTCTTTAGGAATTAGGAGTGCTGGAGAATATGGTCCATCCATTCTATACATTCATATTAATGTGAATACTGTTTTATTTATGCTTTCAAAGAAGATTTAACATTAAATGCAATATGAGGAGTAATGAGTTTAAAGTTAAATTTTCTTTGAATAGGTAAATCACACTTTGCAAAGCAAAAATGAGGACTTTGCTAGCCCAGATTTATGCATAGACTATTCCTATTAATCAATATAACGCACAGACAGGTAATTTTTTTGATTTTCCTTTATGAAAAGGATTAGTCACTAACGAGATCCATGATTTTAACAGTTTCATCTCATACACTCTGACACAGCTAAATTAGTTGAGGGGTCATAGAACTTATATATCATGGATTATTAATATTTCATAGAGGAAAATGCTTACTTAATTAATACTGTGGCCACTAAATTATATCGTACATGTCTCTAGGGAGCTAAGAGCATCTTATCAGCATTATTTAATTCCATTCTTACTCAGATTCATTAAGCACGTCCAGCATTGTGGCCTTTGGTCTTTCTGCAGCACTCATGCCCCTTGAATGCCACCCCTAGCTCACTCCATTGAAATTTGGAAAAGGTGTTTCAGAGGCCTGAAACTTTGGGCTATTTGTACATCTCAAACAAGCGTATATTCTTGTTTTCGTTTTTAAGGAGCAACTAAGTTTACTTGAAAATTACTATTAAACCCCCATGATTTTATTGTGCGTTCATCAGTATTTGAATGAAAGCTGGATGGGGCCAATGGGAGATTCAAACATTCCTTAAGATTTTGAACCAGAAACTTGACAAAGTTCTTCCGATAATGTATGTGCTAGACCCTCTGTTTTTACTTTCTAAAAGAAGAGCAGGACATATTGCCCCTCTTGACATAGTTCAGCAAGGACCCTTCCGGACTGGCCTCAGGTTTTCCAGGGATGGTTCACTGTAGTATGCCTTGGCTCTAAAACTTGAGTTTTGCTAAATTTAATTGAAAACAATTTAATATTCCAGTTTAGTGACATGCTCCCAGATTCTCAGAATTCCTGAAGTATAATCTGAATCAGAAGCAATTCTTCATTTAATTGGGCATTATGTAATGATTTCTTTCTTTTTTTACTACCTACATTTTGGATTATTTCACATTAAATTCAGGCGTGCATTTGTCAGCATTTTGCTTCTCACATTTTCTTGCATAAAACCCCACATTGACACTTATGAGGATACTATTCTACTTGACAGATTGAAGAGGTTTCCATGGGTGAAATGGAGCTTAAGACGGAGGAAAGTATTTTTGCCCAGCTAACAGAACTCTTTAATTCTGTGCCTCTCTTTGCCTACAGATAATGACCTTAAGTAAGACATTAGTATGTCAAGTTCTCAATGGAAAATTCAGCATAGAAAATTCAGTTCCCTTGAAACATATTCTTCTAGTATATTATTATTAAGAGAAGTATGTCAGTTTGACAGTGACAAAAATGTTTTCATTCTCCAGGTACCATTTGATAGTGTGATTTATGCCAGATTAATGAAGGGCAAAGCAATTGGGTAAGGCATAATATTTCTAAGCAATTACTAAGAATGAAATATCATTTTATCTTCTCAGGTTTCCCGAATCTGCAGTTTCTGTTTTGAAGAGCCAGCACTTGCGGCAGAAACTCCTTCAGTCCCTGTTTCTTGATAAAGTTTATTGGGAAAGTCAAGGAGGTAGACAAGGAATTGAAAAGCTTATTGATGTAATAGAACAGAGAGCCAAAATCCTTCTCACCTACATCAACGCACATGGGGCCAAAGTATTACCTATGAATGAATAACGAAAGGATCTTCTGGCTAGAATACTAGATATATTTATGCATTTGGCTTTGTTTTGTTTTGTTTTGAAATCAGGTACACAAACCTCAAGTCCTTTTAGGAATGAGGCAGCGTGGAGCAATACATAAAAGAAATGAATTTGACCAAGTGTATATGATGGATCTGAGCTCTATAAGCAGGCTTAAAACCTTTTAAAAAACATACTGTTCAAAAAATATTTGTTTATATTTTTCTCTAACATCACATCATAGGAGTCTCAACATCTGGTTACAGGTGGCCGCAATTATTATTCCAGTTAGCTTTGTCATGCCATTTAACAGAACAGCGTAAACCAGAGGTGCGGACTCCTTTAACAAGGCATATTTTATGCCATATTGACTGCTCTGACTGAGTACTGATAGGAATGGCTCTTGATATTCTTTGGCTGCTGATTGTTAAAACAGGGCAGCCTCAATATGACCCAGAGGCGATTCTGCATTGGAAACCTGAGGCTGCGATCTGCAAAAACATCAGGGTATGTGATAATTCTACATAGAAATGGTGGGTTATTTGCAAAAGCACCAGTATATATTTTATTTTATTTTATTTTATCTATAAATGATCAGCCATCTCTGATTCTGAGCAGCAAGAATCACAGTTTCCATTTTTTAAATAAATTTATTTTGTTTTCACTATAGAAATCATCCAAATCTGACGGTTTATATAGTAGGTAGTTTTGCTTTCTCAGTTTGAGTCCAGTTTATGTCTAGTGGCTTAGAAATTAAATAATTTTAAGGTACAAGTTACCTATTTGAAAATATAATTTTAGAATGCCTTTTTTAATGGATGCTCTTTTGAAAAATTTTGTCATTTTTACAGTGGATACACTATAGTTTTTGTATATTTTATTAATAATAGTGGATTTCTTCAGATTTGTTCTAATTACACTTAGACTGATTTAATTGATCTTGCTCAGATATTGACAATAGAACCAGATAGCGAATGTATTTAAATATATTGTTTGGCTTATTCTAATATGAGAAATATGAACAAAATAAATTAAAACCTGACTCTTTTCAATTCTCTTCAATGACTAGAACTAACAGTGAATTTGGATACAGGCTCAAATAATTCTCCCCAAACTCCCTCTGCCTTCATTTTAATTAAGCATAGGGGCGTGGACATATAGTTTTCATGTGTTGGGTCTTTGTGTTTTGGCAAGATACCATTGCATTTTCTGTGTCCTAATCAAGGGCAAATTAATATCACCATAAATTAGAACTATTAAAGGCATTAAAATGAAGACTTTTTTTTTTTTTAAATAACTATATATTCCAATTTATACAAATGTGTCGAGGCAAAATGTCAAAACAACATGGTAACTACAAGAGGTAGTTACCTTGGTAAGGCCAAGGAGAGAGGGGTCATTTGATTATCTAATTATAACTTTTCTAGGCTCACATTCATGTACTGTTTTCTAGCATCCTTATTTGCTGGGCTGACCTTTGGAGAAGTGGTCTTCAGACCATTCTTTTCTTCCATTATCCCTCTACAGCTCTGAGTTCCTCCCTCTGATTCTACACACTCAGCAAACTCTGACTCTCCTGAGTCTCCTCTTTTACCTGATGTATTTGGGCTTTTTAAGTCCCCCTTTCCCTCATTAATCAGTATATTACTAAAAAAATTGGCCTAACAAAAGTTTGGCGACCCAGGTTTTATATTGAGCCATTGACTTGAAATAACTCTTTGTGAGGTTGCCTTATACCTTGCCTTATCAAGCTGGCATGTTTGCATTTTCATATGCTTTTTATGGAATATATCATCTTTATCTAAATTTGGGAAATTAATGGCGGGAATTCCCATCTCCTCAGAAAGGAGCTTTAATTTTGTGTCTCAAGCTACACTGCTTTTGGGCAGCCGGGTTCACTCTTACGTGGATCTAGCCTTCCTTATTTCCCTCCAGTTATTCTGACATGCTTAATATTAAATGAAAGGTCCGGGAACACATGTTTATTTTAGTCACCTTTGCTTTTTAACAATGCATTTTGTGTTATAATCAGTGAATAATTCATGATGCATTATTTTTGAATAATGGATAGCTGCAGCGCCAGGCTTTTAATTTTAAGTAATGCTCTTTTCTCTTACTGAAACAATGAGAGTACTCGGAGCCTTTCAAATGCACTCAGATTATGCCCCGGTTTGGTTCACGTAAGCATATTATGTGGTTTATTTATAACTTGATAAATTTAAAATGAAACAATTTACCTTGGCAGACATACAAAAGCTGATTGTTGTGTGATTTATTTTCTTTAAGGTGATAATATGCAAATAAATGCATATCTGAAAAATCTATAATAAAAATATTAGAAATTAAAGATGTGTGCCTTTTATTTTGTAAATGGGTTTTCTTTTGATAGATTACTCTTCTTCAGAAGTTAAATCTAGAAGACTGCTACCGTTGCCCATGGTGAAAGAAACAATTGAACCATTAAGAGTTTTATTGGATTGTGTTTATGTATGCATATTTGGTATTGTTACTAGTGATATCATGCTTTCTCTTGGCTCATATACAACATTGTTTTAGGTGGTATGCAAATTAGTGAACAGATGTCACAAACTGTGAGAGGTTAGTTTTTGTTTCTGTTTGCTGGGAGTGAGTCTTAGAATTAGAGTTAAGGTTTTCCATAGAGCATTCTTATTTATTAAGTTTATTAGGTACCCAGGGAATTTATTGAAATATAAAATGTCTTAGACTTATGTTCAAAACATTTATGATCTCTGAGCCTGTATAATAGCCTGTTTATTCTGACATGCTTAATATTAAATGAAAGGTCCAGGAACACATGTTTATTTTAGTCACCTTTGCTTTTTAACAATGTATACATTACATTGTATCTAATGACTAAAATAACCTGGATATAGATTTATCTACAGTGTCTTATGACATTCTAATGTTTATCTCAGCACAGAACAAGGTAGGGCACATTTAGAGCACTAGTCTGAAAATAAGATATGGAAATTGCACATGGGTCAAATAAAGACGATAAAGACCCTCCTCTAAAAACTAGTATCATCAAGAATTAAGAACTTTTATTCATGAAAGACAATTTGACTTCTTAGAAAAGTTATCTGACACTTTGAAACAGCCAGAAGAGATTTTTGAGTGTTCTTTCAGTGCAATGCTGGGCTTGCTTTTGTATTGAATTGTCTATTTAACAATGTTGTAGGGCAGAGGTCAACTTGTAGATTTTTATCCCATAGAGATGCAAATAATTTCTGCCTGGTGGAAAAGACAACCCTAACGGTTTTGCAGTTTATTACCCTGTTGGACATTGACCAGTTTTATATCTAGTCCAACAATCTTATCCTAACATTGCCTGTAGATACTTGGCTTTTGAAATACTTTTGAAATGGTTTTTACCATCTTACTGGTTTTCTCATTAATTTAATTGTTTAAATAAAATCTTTGACATATGTTCATTTTATATTTGCATAAGGATTGCAGTTTCATTCTTTTGAAAATTTTGCCTTTATAAACTTTTGACTAGAGTCCTACCTATTCTGTTTGCTTGATAGTCATGATTTTAAATTTTTGAAAATGTTATTTTAATACTCTTTCAAAACATTGTTATATACTTTAAGAACTGAAGGGTATCATGTGATTAGCGTTTTGAGCTTATTTTCCTTTAATCTTTTAATTTTTTAAAGATTATCAGCTGATTATCTAGTTCAAGGTCTGACTCAGAGGGGTTGCTGGCAGACTGTTTTGCAACCTAAAAATGCACATGGTAAGTGAATGAAGTCACAGAAGTCTTTTCTTACAACAACATTGCATATGGTTAACTTAGTTCAATCATTTTTTTTTCCATCTTAGAAAGTTACCTTTTTACCATTGTGATTCCAAAGTGCATTTAGTTTACTGATAAAAAAATGCACAATTATGTGCACATTAAGAAATCTCTATGCATCTCCTTTCTAAAAAAAGTAATCTGTATTTCTTAGCAGTACTTGTCAAGATTTCTAAAGCTTTTGAGACAAAGAGCTAAAAAATAAAACCTCCCTTGTCAGTGGCTTTAATCACATGCTGCAGCATAGCTAGCTGGGCTATATTTCAAAAGGCAAACTGGGCTGCAAAGAGTGGGACCAGTCACTAAATGAGACCGAAACAGCTGTGATTTTGCAAGATGTGCCAACATTTTCTTTAGCTCCAGGACACCAGACATTATTTGGCTCATAAAGTACCCTATTTTATTGGCTCAACTTCTGTTTAGAACAAGAGATCTTGTTCTGTATCCTTGTTTCAGGCCCTCAGGGGTGTTAAAATTGAGGTCAACATTTATTTTTTTTCCTCATAGTAACTTTGTATAAAACAAAGTTAGATATCCTCTCCAACTCTGTGAAATACATTATCATCAAGCTTGCAAGATTCGGGCCTTTCTTAAGAGAACGATGAAATAATGTATAGCCTCTCGTAAGTGTCAGTTTTCCACTCTTAATCAGGTAATAAGTGCCAGTTACAATATAGGACGTGAGTTTTGGTGACTAATGTTACAATACTATTTGCTGCTCATATTGTATCATTTCCTTTGTCTTATTTATTATTGGTTGCAAGTGGAGATAGCATGTTGTGTTTAAAGACGAGTGACATGGCAGTGGCTGGTATAGCAAATTCCTAATTAAAGACATAAATTGCTAATTAAATCTTCACATTAGCCTGGGCAGTAACACCCTCCAAGTTGTGACAACCAAAAATATCTCCTGATATGGCAAAATGTCCCCTTAGGAGGCAACGCCATTCCGCGGTTGAGAACCATTTGTTCTTCGTGCTTTAGTACATTCGTTGACAGAAAGTCTTCCACAAATGGTAAACCTTTTAATTTTTTTGTCCTTTTGCATTCAGCTAATGAAGGTTTTCTCTGTCGAATTCCCTGTATTAGACTGTATTGCCACATTGCATGGCATCACTCAGAGACCTAAGAGGTCCTATGGTTTGGAGAAAGAGATCAATAAAAGAAGCCGTATA